TAAGTAATAATATCGTTAACTATAATATTGTGTGACTTTATTGCATGAACGTTATTATCGTCTGAAAGTTTTCTCAAGCGAATTGATGTTTTATCGCTAGATTTATCATATAAATGATGATCCAAATAAAAATGTCTTCGACGTATAATACGATCCTGAACAATTTACACAAGTTGGAGTTTTCTAATGTTATCACGTGTTTGATGTTCGGGGCTGTCAGAAACAGTCGGGAAGAAGAAAAATATAACTTACAATGTCATACCAAGTTATACAACAGGAACGTATATTGCATTTATATAAAACGCTGCTGAAAATATCTATTATGTGTCAGTCGCCATAGTTCTGTTCTAACTTTCAAGATTCTGAAATGTTTCACATCTATGGAAAAGTTTCGAAAACGTACATATCTTCTTTACAGCCATCGATTCCATTTAACCTAGATATATTAAGCACAAAGAATCAAGAATACAAAAAAATGCGTGACACACGCAAACCAGATTTCGGTATTAATTACTTGAAATGAACAATTATTGTGGAACCTGGAACGGTAGATATTTTCCCAAATTTTCAGTTTCGTGACATGAACGATTCGAAAGTTTTTTCACATTTGCATTTCTCCCATCCAACTGATGGAGACATACATGTTTGTGTTATGAAGTGAGGTTTTTGTCAATCTCGAATCAAAATTCACGCGTTAACTCGAAAGAGCCACTTTTCCGATTCAATTCGTTTTATTCTGGGGCGGCAAAAATGTAGAAGAAAGTTTAGAAAACACGTTTTTCAGTGAGTAGAAGGAAAGCGCGAAATGGAAAAGATGTAAAATAGATTATCGAGACGGTCGGACATATTTCGAAGAGATAAAATTTTATAGTCGACTTCCTTTTTACCATATTCAAACTGTTATGCGAATGAGATCCACTTCCCCAAATTGCTCAATTTTCCTCCTACGAGAAAACGGTATTACTATGTCAACGAATAATTTCCACATCGATGAAAGTATACTTCTCCACATTTTCAACATGAAGGAATGATATGATCAGATGACAATGTTATCGGCTGAATTTCAATTTTCTTGGGGATATTTTTTTTCTGATAAAAACTCTTTTCACTAATGTTGCGAGACAATAATTTCAATTTTATTCTTGATGCTTTTGTTGACTGTTATACTTTTTCTGGAACATGATTTTTTCGATAGTTTCTTACTGCAACTCAACAATTCTTGCTATAAACAACAATCTGTGTTCGTTTCGAATGATTTCGAAGAGAAACCTCAAACAAAGGGTTAATCAACGAACCAAACAAATTGCAATAGCTTTCAGTTCATTCTTTCTCCATCGGTTTTGCAATTCAAAGCTTCTCGATAAACACAGATATTTTAATATTCATAGATCCAATGAAGATTTTCGGATATTTCAGTGCTCATCACGACCCCAGGGCTTTTTAATTATTGTGGCGATATGAATGTTAAAAACGCTCCGAATATCTGAACATTACGGGCAATCACAAAATTTAGCAATCACATGTTACAATTGCCTCATATCGCTGAATATTCATATTGACGTAACTGATGGCAACGTAAAAAAGAAATATACGGGAGAATGGCGAAATTAATTGAATTTTTAATGAACGGAATAAATCAGTATAAATATACATCTACGAAATAATTGGTATGCAATTGATGCAGCGATCGTGACGTAAATTAAACGATATCAATTAGTGGTACATGATTCCCTATAATTCTCGTTAACTGGAATCGATGATGCTATTATACATATAGTCAATTACCACAAAGTTCCAAAACTTGACCTCTTGATTGAAATCTCATTAGTTTCAGTATCATCAGAAGGGATTTGCAAGTCAAATCGTGATATCCAAAAACGGCCTTTTCGATGTTCAATATTATATCGATGATTCTTTTCAATCGATTTTCATTATCCAGAACAAAGTATCATGCTTACAGTCGATCCGTTCATTATTAATGGTGATAGTGACTCAAAATGGTTTACATTGAAAGTAGGTAGATACCTAAGTGTATTCTGCTATGGGCCTTAATTTTTTCCCCTATGATCCAAATGACTAAAAAATAGTTTTTTGCTATAATTCTGATTTTGTGGAGAGAAATTTGAAGGAACACTTTGAAGAATTCATCATTTTCTCATCCGATTGCGATCATTGACCATAGTGCGAACTGTATAGTTATCTTGTAACATTTCAGCACAATACACAATCATTTCCTAACTATCTAATCTCGCTACCTTCGGCCATATTTTATATCACGTGCGTTCCACGATCCACTCTGAATAATTTTCATTTTTACAAGAACTTCAATTTCCGGTTTTTGATTGAAGCTAGAGTGGTATTCGGTAAGAACATTTCACACCGGAATATTATTTAAAAAATACTAGGATGGGATTACGCTAGAGAAAATACAAAATTCCGGCTTTAGTTATGCATAATATTAATAATCATTCTCGATTTATTCCACTAAAGTTGATGGAAGCATTATTTTATTATAAGGAACTCGAAGCGGTATGTAGTAATAATGAAATCCACATCGAAAACATTATTAGGTTGAATAAATCACAATTTACTTATTTTAATTATACAAAGTAATGAAAATTAAGTCGATTGTAGCTCAATTTCTCAGTTTTTCTAAAATTCATTATACTGAAGTTGATAGAAATTTATTTTCTCACAAGAATAAAATATAATTAAACGACTTTAGTTGAAAGAAATCATAAAAAATGAGTTTCGATTAGTAATATAAGTGATATATTTCTACCGAATAAGGATAGATTATACAAAGTGGTTCAAAAGTTATGTCCAGATGAAGACGGTAGACACATCAATAGGGGTTGATTTGGAACCATCAAAGTGTCTATCTACAGGTATTGTATATACATTTAAATCTGACCCTATATATTATAAACGTGAGAAAATTTTCAATATAATTTCATGCTCCTTCCCCGGGGAGGAGGATGAAATTTCCAAGTTGCTATGGTAACGATACAAAATACAGGCTTTTAATTGGTTGAAAATGTTAAGTGTGAAATTTTCATCCCTCATTCCATCAACGGGCGGGCGTTCGTCAATTGCGCCAATCAAAACAACTTTAATCTCATTCTCCCATATTATTATGTGTACTTATAACAATATGTTGTTGTCACAGTGCATTAACTCGATGGAATCCAAGGGATTTCATCGGACCTAAGCCTTCAAACAACAGGCTGACGCTAATGGATGCATCTGACGCATAGATCAACCGATATTTCGATCTCGCATAACATCGCCCGACAGAAACGATGAATGATGACGATACTTTACTGTGCATCAGCATCGGGATTATCAGGACACATCCCCAAAAGTACGTAATGCAATGACACATCGAATAAATTACACTCTGCATTCGGTATAATGATTATTATACGCTATGCCATGTCACTGGGAACGCTGATTGGCCTAATCAAAATTTATAATACTCGATGCATTATACCGGCAAAAAAACGGCCAGCAAAAATGTTTGTCAAATTGATCGCCCTGTAACTTTATTGATTCTTGTCCGACCAAATCGTTGATTCATGTTGCGGAGTGCTAGCCTGAATTTTAATTCTTGAGAAAACTGATGGCTTGATCATTATACTGGGAAAAATAGAAGTAACTCTTTCATCCTTGACTCCTAAGGCGAAACCGAAGGGTTCAACTTAGTTTCATTATGTTTTGGATTGAAGTGCCCCTCCTTGACATGGTTTCTGATTCAGGTCAATATGTACTTTTTAAGAGAAGATACAAGTGTTTTGAGAAAGTATGGGATTTTTTTATTTTTGATCATATTTTGGAGTGAATTGTGTTCCCTTTTCGTCCCTTCTCAACACATCGGTTCTACATTCGCATCAATATCTTCTTTTTGTTTCATTAAAATATTGTAGCTTCTGTATAAGGATTTATTTCTCATAAGGCGTTATTTCAAGGGAGACGAAGTTTTGCAGTATAACACCAACTAATTTTATGAAGCTGCAAAGTAAATAGACTTGAACATACATATACGTTACGAAGCAGTTAATTAAAATAAACTCGTTGGTCTTGACAAAATAAACATCGTAAATATTGAAACGATTCGGCATGCAGGATATAAAGTTTCATGACATAATCTCAACAAAATGGTTCATTCACACATTCATTTTTGGTCTAGAATCACCAAAAACAGATAAAGAAATTCAAATCATAGAAATCCGGAGTTTTCAATCAACGGGACTCATCCAAGAACGAATGAGTCAATATAAATTAGCTAATGTTCAGTAAGAATGAATTGATTCACGTTGTTGATAATGATATAGTTATGATTGATTTGACTAATTTGAAAAGTTGCATCAACCAAAGTGTGACAATGCCGTTGTTGCCGAAGAATGCAAGTATGTGTATACCATAAATTTCCTACCTTCACTTAATTAGTTCTTGTCTAGAGCCTATTATACTTTCTGAAAATGCATAGAAATATCAGGTATCTAGAAACTTCATTGAGTCAAGCATATATTCGAGTTCTGTATCACTTGAAATTTCAAGATGAGAATTAAGAAAGAATATTCCTCGTATATAAGACTGGCGATTTTCAGTTCGACCGATAGTTCGACCCAATTAACGGATATAGAAAGATTATATACTGACCAGTGACCATCAAAATTGGTTAACGCTTTTTATGATACCTGATGATTCCCAATGTGTGTTGTCTCTCTGATCAATTCTAAGGACCTGAAAAAGGTTCAAATCCCATTTCAAGCCAAACTTTGAATTATTTTCATTCAACCTGAACTGTCTCTATATATGTTGAAAAAATATTTGAGAGGGATTAGCCAATTATTCCCATCATTATTTCATTCACTTTCATCACAGTGTAGTACCAAACTTTTTCTTACATAGATCCGAATGTTCGCGAGACGTATTCGCGATTATGGTATTGAATGAGAATTGAAACAGAAAAAAAATACCCATTTCCATGTACTCACCAAGTACCACTGTTCTCTGAAGAGCGGGTCAGGAAATAAGTGGGGCGGAACGGCTCTGTATCTGGGTTGGCCATGAAATGCAGAAGCAGAGGGCGCCACCTCACTAACAAACTGGCTGAAGGGCGACAGAGAGGGGTCTTGCGAGAAATCGCGCTTCTTGCGTTTCTTCTCGTGTTGTTGTTGCACCCACAGAACCTGAAATAAAAAAAATAATGTAGGAGATCTTCATTTTGGAAACTACCCATGCATCTTTTTTTGAATATTTTTTCTATCTCTTGGAACGTACGAAACGAAATTCCTATAATACTTCCATTGGCAAAGATTTCCAATGCTTCGCTGTTCTATAGACAAAAGAGTTTTGGTGACGTGTTGTTAGGCATAGTTCAAGGTTGACAACGAAAGGATGTGTTGACTGGGCTTGTCGAGTTCGTCTGACTGGTATTGCTAGTGATAGAAAGATAGCAGAGATTTCTGAAGAACATTTCCCGTGAAAGAAATCATATAGAAAAATTAGAGGTCAACGACATTTCTACGGTGTTCAAATGGCGTCATAAAGAGTTGGTGAGTGTCTCCCACCAGGCGAATGGCACTTCTCTGGATGGAATATGAGAGCATCAGAGTTTGTTTGGGTGCTGAACTCCATATGTGAGAACAGTATTCTAATACAGTTTTTGCGAAGGATCGGAGATGTTTTTCCGATGAGAGAGTATTGCTGATGGTAATACCTAGCAAAGATATGGTGGTCTAAGCTTCGAGCGGATCAGAAGATCACGAATTATTGATCACCATTAAGGTATTGGTGATATTTGAAAATCAACATTTTCCTATATCTTGAAGAAGGAAAATTCTGCAGCAACCTATACATGCATTGTAGAAAAATTTTGTAATGAATGTGTTTTTGTCGCACACCTTTCTTTCATGTGTTCATCAGATCGATTTTATTGATATTTCTCTTTTCACGAAACAGTCTTCCTCCTCCTTATGTTTTTCATTCTTTCTATACAGGGTGTGTCAGGTCAAACTCGTCTAACTTTGACAATCGATAGCAAAAATTAAAATATTATATACGTACTTTTTTGTTTCGACGAGAAGAAACTTGTTTTCATCACACGGGTTGTTGAAGTTCGCATATATTTTTCTTTTTCATATTTTATCTCTGTTGAAACATAACCTAGCGATTTGAAAGTCGGTGAGCACTTTTCTATCGGCAATATGAACACTTGAACAGTCCTTATCAACAGAGGGGACTTAGCTACACTTGGTGTTATCCTTTTTCGAGCCCACTGACATGGAACCCATACGATTTTTTGATTGGGACGCTAGTATAGTGGATTGAACCGAATATAAAATCATCATCTCATCTTCACCTCACTTTGTATTTTCCATTTGTTTCAATATCTTTATCAGTTCCCGAGTTATTGAGGAAATCATATTAGGCGCATTCTCGGCCGCATCATACTCGATTGGTATCACTGCACAATGTTATCATGGTGTTTTGACGACTGTCACGATGATGATCAACTTTCATCAGCTATATGAACTTTTCATATTGCCGATTGAGAAGTGCTCACCGAATTTCATATCGCTCTAGGTCGTGTTTCAACAGAAATAATATATAGAAACCAAAAATTTATGAGAAATTAAAACAAGTTTCTCCACGACAAAACGAAAAAACGTGTATAATATTTCAATTTTTGCTATCGGTTATCGAAGCTACACGAGTTAAACCTGAGACCTATGAGATGCTTCATAATAATTGAAGTATCTGTTCGTTAATTTCGCATCCCTTTCTGCTTTGTATATAGAGCTCGAAAGAAACACTTGAAATAATAATTGTTTTATTCGGATTGTTGGTGAACATTTGTAACGCTGCAAGACCCAAAGTAACTGCTAATTGTTATCATAATTATTATCTCGTGAATTTCACAGTCGAGCGGTATTCCTAACAATGGCCGGTATTTAAAAAGTGACGGCAATATTTTCCGGAGAATTTATTCTAGTGTTTCGTCGAAGTCGTGCACGTTCGCTTAATTATTGTGTTTAATTGAGGCCGTTCGGCTAGAGCGTGCTATTCGATTCGTTAAGGGAGGCAGTTATATTGTTCTCTGCATTAATTCACATCAAAGAATGAGGTATAAATAATGTACGGCGACGGAGAAAATAAATGTCACTTCTGCATGCCATAAAGGCATCCTCACTCGAGTCCATTTCTCCACCAAACTATATTTCAACGAAGAAAGGTGGCTATTTCCTAGTTGAAATATAATTGCTACACAAATTTCCTTCTTTTGAAATAATACCTTCATTATTTAAAAGATTATGCTGAAATAACAGCCTGGGGAACTAACAACCTAGTTGAATTCAACGCCGCGAGAACTCAAACCTGTATTTTCTCTAGAAAGGTGGAACTCAGTATGCCTGATACCACCATAACCTCCAAGTCAACTATATCTATGCTTGAAATCTCCATACTCCATAGTCTTTCATGTGATAATCATGTCAGATCCATCGCGAAACTCGGATTTTTATCCCGTGCGAAAAGATACTTCACACCTCAACAGTTCCTCATGAATTACAAAGCACAGATAAGACCTGTTCTAGGATACTGTTCTAACATATGAGATTCAGCATCCAAACATATTCTGATGCTCTTAAATTCCATCCAGAGAAGAGCCATTCGCTTTGTGGGTGACGTCACACTCACTAACACTTTGCCATCATTGGAACACCGTAGAAAGGTCGGCGACGTTTCACTTTTTTATAGATACTTCCACGGGCAACGTTCTTCAGAAAGCTCTTCTACGACTAGCAATACCAGTCAGACGAACTCGACAAGCGCAGTCAGCACATCCTTCTATTGTCAACCTCGAAATATGTCGAACAGCACTATATCGAAACTCGTTTCTCTATATAGATCGGGAAAGCTCTGGAATTGATTGTCTGAGGAAGAACTCATAATCTCCAAATGTTCAAAAAGAATTCCAACACCTACCTCCTGTCCCTATCCTCCACAGGTACGCACGATGTTCTTCGAACACTATAGGGACTTTCTTTCGTGCGCACCAAGCGATACAAAAAAAAAACAAAAAGCTCATCGGGTGCAAAAATATTTAAAAAAAGCTGCACCGATTGCTTACATTCACAACCCCAAAATTACAATTTTTTATTACTCTCGAATTCCGAGTTATTCCCTGTCCCAATCGTCCTGTGACACCCTCTATACGGGGGTATTCCGAATCTTCGTATTTTTTACTGTAAATTAACGAAAATTATATCCCTTATGTATATTATCCAACCACCAGTCTGCGCCTTTTTCGATTTTATTCAAAAATCGTCATGTTGATTTCAAAAAGAATCAGTTGTACCATAGATTTCAATGTATGGTTGTACTTATTTCAAAATCATATATCAATTCTATCTCACACTGCGTCAATTGTCAGGGGCTGTCATAGCAAAGTAGACAAAAACAATAAACTTGAAGCAGCCAAGTCTTGATAAAATACAGAGCGACAATGAAAATGAAACAAAATAAAATTAAGACGACTACACCCTTGTTTTATTATCTATCTGTGGAATCTCCTCTGTCACGTTTTCTTTGCGATGAAAAGCGCAACCGGACAGACATAGATATAGCGGAAATGCCTCGGCTATTGTTGTCCTCGATTGTCGTTATTTGTCAGGATAAATAGAAAATTGGTTTGTATCTGGGAAAATGTAATTGTAGCTATATTAAATTAATGTTTCCTTTGTGATATCTCCGAAACGTTTTCTCTTCGCTGGCTTGATATGTTTTGTCGTGGCCTGATGCTTTATTGGACTTTTCGACAAAACGACATCATTTATACGAAACCAATTCGTTGACAAGGATATACTCTAAAAAGCTCATTATACTGTCTCGTAACTCGATCCCCATAGTTTATGGGCATATTCCTTGAACAATTCCAAGTCGAAAGTGCTTTATACACTTTTTTCCAAAGCTCAATAGTTAAGGAGTTAGGAGCAATTAAATAACACCTTTGCCTATTGGTGGATTGAAAGAGGTGATCTAGTTCTTTGGTCACCGAGGTCTCCTGACCTAACACCTCTCGACTATTATCTCAGAGGACAAATGGAAAGTTTAGTTTATTTTAATGCACCACAAACCAGAGATAAGCTAATTCAAAATATTATTACTACATCAGTTGCATCCATACGAGTCGACCCAGATAATCTTTAGAGAGCAACATTTTCAATAACAATAATTAGAAGAACAAGAATATGTTGTGAAGCAGCGGGAGGACATTTTGAACACAAATTTCAATTGAATTTGAGGAAGCAATAGAAACATTCCTAATTCATAAAATATTAGATAACTTCATTCAACATTCTCTTTGTTTGCTTCAAAACATTCTGTTGAATTTAAAATTGCTCATTACTTTTCAACTATAGAGTTTTGAATAGAAGTGTAGAAGGCACTTTCGACTTGAAATTGTTCAAGGAATATGCCTTAAGCTATGGAGTCACGAAACACCATGTAGCTTCTTTTGATAAAAACTATCGGGGAATTCAAAATGAAGTGAACAGAAAAGTGTCGCATTAATATTTTTTTCACAGATAAGTGACAGAACAACATTCATTATATCAGAGTTTAGATATTCTACAATTTAGATATCTCTAAATATATCAGTATTCAATAGTGACGTGGAAAACAATTTGATGGTTATCAATAATTATAGTATTTGGTGGTGGTGGTCTTGTTCAGATAATTGACGGCAATCAAGTTGTTTTATGAAGTTCATTCCGCTACATACTTCGATGCAACCTAAATGCTGTTTCATTAAAATATTGCAGCTTCTGTATAAGGATTTATTTCTCATAAGGCGTAATTCCAAGGGAGACGAAGTTTTGCAGCATAACACCAACTAATTTTATGAAGCTGCAATGTAAATAGATTTATACATACATAGTCGTATACGTAGTTCGTCAGATTACGCAGTTAATTAAAATAGACTCGTTGGTCTTGACAAAATAAACATCGTAGAAACGATTTGGCATGCTAGGATATAGAGTTTCATGACATTAGCTCAACGAAATCGTTCATTTATACCTTCAATATCCTTTTTGGTCCAGAATCACCAAGAAACAGATATTGAAATTCAAATTATAAAAATCAAGAGTTTTCAATCAACGGATTTCATCCAAGAACGAATGAATCCAGC